AAAACTAGAAGCCAGTTTCATCCTCAGTGTGGAAGTATTACTTTATTATTTTCTAAATTTTTACTTAAAATGATTACTGTTTTTAATTTTTAGTAAGATGTAAAACCAGCACTTTTCCTAACAGAAAAATAAAGCAAGTATCAAGATCATGCCCTGAAGTATTTCTATTCATGCTTTTATGTTACAGACAATAAGTATACTAGTATGACCTGGTTGGTCCTGGACTCTTCATGATTGCATGTAATAACTACATAACCACTATACTGTTTTTTTAAAAAGTTGTAGCCTGGCATGGTGGCACACATGTGTAGTGCCAGGAGGCTGACACAGGAGAATTACATGAACTCAGTAGTTCAAGGCCAGTCTGGGCAGCACAGTAAGACTTCAGTATTTAAAAAAAAAAAAATCTGGTTCATTCTTCAGTCAGCCAAAATACTGGTAGTAGCTACAATGATACATCAGTAGTTGGAGTTGCACCAGTTGTTTCAGGCAATACAATTAATACAAAGTAGGACTTGGGCTGAAATACATTTTGTGGCCATTTAGCACTAGAAAAGGAAGAGAGAATGAAAACTAAAATATATCTAAATAGTATTAGTATCAGCTGATAATGATGTGTATGTCCTGTTTTGAAACAAAAACATTAGGACAATGAATCATTTTTAGTTTCAGACAGAAGTACAAGCCCAGTGGAAGAATTAAAAAGCTGGCTGGCCAGGTTCTAGCCTTCGTAGGTTGAGAAGCATTTGCTTGCGTAGTGAAGGACAAGGCTCTTCTTTGTTTGGTGAAATCTGCTTTCTCACTTTGTGGGGCTGAATTCCAACAGGCTGGAACATCTTGATGGTGGCCCGTGAGCGGTTGGAAGATCTTAGGGAAAAGTATGGACACTGTCTCCAGAGGAAAAAGGGGAAGCTACATACCACATACCATCACAGCTTGCCACCTTCGAGGCTGTAGTGTATGCGGAGAAAGGTCCCCTCCTCCGGGTAGGTGCTTTCCAAACGGCTAACCTGCTGGCGTCCTTAAAGTGTGGAGTGTGTTTGCACAAGAGGAAGAGCATCTGTGCCAACCCCCGGTCTGCACTTGCCTGCAGGAGCCGCACTCTAGTCTTGGCCATGCGATGCCAAACTGGAGTTCCCAGAGGGAACTGGGAGATTCAGCTCCTCACTAGCCACATTTCAGCTGCTTCACAACCATGTGTGGCTAGTGGCTCTGTTGTGTGTAGCCCTGGCCTGTTACGTGACTTATCCAAGATACAGGAGAGTCCAACTGGGTTGGATGTGACTGCTCATGCTGCTACTGACATGTGCACTATGTGCAGGTACTTTAGCTTGTAGCTGAGGGCTCACCTGATTCAGAATTCCACACCTAAAATAGATCCCTCTTAATGAATCTTCATGTTTTTTTGCAGTGCAGAATACAGGCCCTTGCACATGCTTGGGTAGCACTGTGTCACCACCCCAGCATTCTTCCTAAAACTCACTTCCATGCTTTCTCTGTGTCACCCAGGGTCCTTCCTTTCTTTCCACTCTTCCTTCACTTCAGTGTCCTTACCATATGAAAGCGAGGCGGGGGATACAGCTCATTGACAGCA